CTACCAGACAGGCATTTTATACTTGTATTTTTCAACAGAAATGCATTAGATATATTTCTAGAGCGTTCAGTATCTAGCTAACGAAGAAATAAACCATGCGCATGCCATATACATACTTTCTTAAAAAAAAAAAAAAAAAAAAAACTTTGCGAATACACCATGTCTCAATCCCATTCTTAATTTTGTATGTTGTGAATACAGAACGTGTATATAATAGTTTAAGCGCGTAATCTGCCTTTATTAGCCATAAACACAGCAATTATTTTTACATGGCATCTTTTTTAGGGTCACCATCTCCTGGGAGTAGCCATAGCCATTTCCACCCGACTTCAACCTTCGGTTTATCCAGCTGATGAGTGTATTATGGCACTGGGACTGAAGCATGCTTTTGGCATGTTAGCCTGGATGCTAGTGGTCGCAATCCCTGTGGCTAACCCACCCTTAGTGAGAAACCTCCTATTCTGACTGAGGTTATGGAGGCGATTTCCAAGTTGAAGGATAGGAAGGCTGCCGGTAGATGTGATATCCCTGCTGAACTGCTAAAGTGGGTTGAGCCTATGGGGGGCTTACATATCGTCCTAGTTGCCATCTGGCAGTCCGTTTCTATTCTTCGGGATCTGTTGAGGGGCATGGTCGTCCCTCTCTGGAAGGGGAAAGGGGATCTTTGGGACTGTAGCAACCACCATGGCATCACACTGCTCAGTATACCAGGCAAGGTTTTCGCCCACATTCTTCTGAAAAGGATACGTTATCACCTACGAAGGCACCGGAGCAGTCCGGATTCATCCACAACAGACAGTATCCTAAAGCTTCGAGACATTATGGAGTACTGTCGTGAGTTTGTGGGCTGCTTGTAACCTACTTCAAGAAGGTATTTGACTTGCTATTGGAGATCCTGATACTTAGGGGAATTCCACGACACGGATTATTGGTTTAATAGCAAGCCTATATATTGTTACTAAAAGTGCTGTAAAGTGTGGTGAGGGCCTGTCTAGCTTCTTCCCTGTTAACTCAGGAGTGAGGCAAGGCTATATCCTTGCATCAAAACTTTTCAACACTTGCATGGACTGGATAATGAACAGAGCTACAATCCAAAGTCATTGTTGAGCAACACTGGGCAGTATCAAGGACATGGACCTCGACTTCGCTGATGATGGTGCTATCCTATCTGAGTCTTTGGAATCTCTGGTGGCGGCTCTTGATGCATTCAGCAACGAGGCGAAGCTCCTGGAATTACAGGTCTCCTGGACCAATATCCAGGATTTGGGGGGCCTGTTAGGGGAACCTATTTAGTCCTTACAAACTTACAGGGAGGACATTAAAGTCACAGAGGACTTTACATACCTTGGGTGTGCAGTTCATATTTCTGAGCTGTCAGACCAGGATGTCTCAGACAGATTGGAGTGACAGCAGGGGCCATTCACTCGGTCAACAAGAGCATTTTGAGGTACCAGTACCTATGCGGAAAGGCGTGTCTTCAAAGCACTGATATTGCCAGTTTTGCTGTTTGGTTGTGAAGCCTGGATGCTATATAGTGCTTTGAAGTCTTGTCTTGATGCCCTACACTGGATCATGGGGTACAGTTGACAGGATCAGTTGTCCAATCAACGGCTACTCTGTGAGATTGGCATAATCCATGACTGCCAACTCAAGGTATACGGGCACATAGCTCATTTTCCTGTGGATAACCCTAACCGTCAGGTTGTTTCTTCATTAGACAATCCTGGGTAGAGGAGGACTGTGGAACGACCTAGAAAGTCGTAGCTTGGGCAGCTCCTTTAATGAGCTAGAGATGAGCCGAGGACCTACCTGGCGGCACACCATAATGAACCTTGGCTTGAAGCGAAGGGTGGTTAAGGCTATGCGCCCTGGTTGGTGTCAGCCCTATTGATTGATTTATTGACATCAGATAAAAGACGATGTTAACTTTTCCATATGTAAAACATAATTTTGAACTTCAACATACACTTATCTCTTCCTTGGCTTCAAACAACTGAGGGAAATTAAATTTAAACGAAAATGTATCCTCTGTCAGTGCCATCTCTTGGTTCCTAATTTCGCTACTTTTTACATATTCATGTCTTTTTTGTTTATTTGGATTGCGCATGTGTTGCCACTGGATATCATTCTATTAATTTTTATAGAATAGATAATCACCTACGTTTAACAATTACTTCATGACTCCAGCACATGCATAATAAAATTACTGTATCGCAAAACCTACATTCGTAGGAAGATGGTGCTAAATAGCTTGCCTCGCTATTCCACAACATCATGGATTTTTATATTATTTTGTGGGGGATCATCCTTACCTTGGGTCTCAGCCCTTGCGTCAACTAATTTTACAATTTCTCCCAAAGTGTGAGAACCGTGTTTGTGTCAGTCCTGAACGGCCTTCGTGCTCCATTTACCCTTCCCTATTTACCGTTTTCACTACTATACTAACCTGCAGCACTCTACAACCTTTGGCATCAAACATATTTTGTTCTAATCGTTATCTCTATTTTAACCTTTTCTCTGCAATTCTTTATCATAGTGCTTCCTTACCTGTCGCTCCCCCCCCCCCCGGCGGAATTACTCCGTTATTGTAATTATTATTCATTATTATTATTCATGCTCTAGCATTTTCATCTTATTTGTCGAAGAGTTGAAAAGTGCCCTATGTCTTGAATAAATCTGCATTACTGCGAGTGATATGTAGTATTTCTTCAACCTATCGTGCAAGTCATCCAGTAATTATCAGTCTCGCAGGACTGGACCCAGGCGAGATAGGAGCAGCGCAGACTTGGCGAGTTTAGAAACATACTTATTTAGAATTTGATTTATGTCTCTGCCTTATAATGGTCTCTCCTTTCGAAATACGATTAGCCTGTATCCGAAAGCTTGTTGTATCAAATGGGATTTTGGCTGTTTGTCGTTTTTCTTGTAATTCTCTAACAAGAAAATGTAATAACAATACAAGCCCAGACAGTCACACAATAATTCAGTGTCATATAATATCTCACCTTATCTTTTCAACCTAATGGCAATACCTCATCTTCGCATTGCAGCAATGCACCCCCTTTTATGTGGGGCAGCGTCGACGGGGGTGGCAGAGATGGCGTCCACCCGGAGTGACTGCCCGAGGCTATACCTCAGGCGGGAAGTCAGGGTGAGGGCTTGGAACGTCCGTTCTTAGCGTCAGGATGATTGGTTACCTCTACTATCAGGGGAACTGGGGAGGCCGAGAAATGAGGTGGCTGCTCTCCCTGAGGTGAGAAGACCTGGCAGCGGCACGATCAGTGTTGGTGGCTACATTTATTACTGGTTGGGCAGCAGCGATGGTCATCTCCAGGGAGTAGCCATAGCCATCTCCAGCAGACTCCAACCCTCGGTAGTAGAGGTTACTGCAGTCGATGAGTGTATAATGGTATTGAGACTGAAACTAGCATATGGCTTCTTGTCTCTTATTGCTGTGAAATTAGCATTTGGCTTCATGTCTCTTATTGCTGTGAAACTAGCATTTGGCTCCATGTCTCTTATTGCTGTGAAACTAGCATTTGGCTTCATGTCTCTTATTACTGTGTACGCTCTTACCGATGTTTATAAACTCGACGTGAAAGAGATATTCTGCGCCAAACTAGCATCTGTGGCAAACAGTTGTCCTCGGTGAGATATTCGTATTGTCCTGGGTGACTTCAATGCGGTACCTGGCTGTGATTAAGCTGGCTATGAGATGTCTGTCGGTTCCCTTGGTTCGGGAGCTGATGCCGGTAGCGAGAATAGCCTCTTTTTCTGGGACTTTGCAAAGTCTCAGAAATTGAGGATTTCTGGCTCCTGGTACCAGCGCTCAGACCCACATTGATGGACATGGTACAGCGATGTGGGTAATGCAGCCAAGGAGATTGACCACATACTCGATAGCACTCGGAGGATCCTCCAGAACTGCATGGTATATAGGAGTGCCAAGTTCTGTGGTACTGACCATAGATTGGTTGTGGCTACTCTTCAGGCATAATTCAAAACTGCCCAGGCAAATAACCACCCTAAGGTGTTTGATTTGGACAGGCTGAGGGAGAGGGAGTGTGCCTGGGGGTTTGCTGAAGCAGTCTCTGAACGTTTCACAACATTCGGCAATCTGACGGACGTTGTACTTCTATGGGATACCTTCAAGCGCAAAACGCTTGATGCAGTTCAAGAATCGATTGGTGAATGCCCGAGAGCAAGACAGAATTTCATCTCGCAGGAGACACTGGACGCCACAGATGCTTGTTGTACGGCTCATCTGACAGGAGGGGACAAGGAACAGTTTATTAGGAATCTTGCAGAGGAAGTCAAAGTCCATTTCTTAGTAAATGACATTCGTCCTGCATACCAAGCCCTGAGAAAGCTGAACTCCAAGCACTCTTCATAGGTGACAGCAGTTCGCATAGTAAGTGGCCAGATCGTCTCAGATCCAGCTGTGGCGCGGGAGCGTTGGGCTGAGTATTTTGAGCAGTTGCTGGAGCAATCTGGATTCACACCTGGTAAGTCCACAATAGAATGTATCCTTGCGCTTCAAGCCAGTGAAACCTGGACATTATCTTGTGCGTTGGAGTCTCATCTTGATGCCTTTTGTAATAGGTCCTTGCGCCGGATCATGGAGTACTGTTGGCGGGACCATGTGTCCAACCAATGGTTGCACCGTGAGACTGGCACAGGATCTGTTATTTGCATAGTTCGTGATCGCCAACTTGGGTTATACGGCCACCTGGCTCGCTTTCCTCAGGATGATCCTGCTCATTAGGTTGTCTCTGCCCATCAGGCGGCTATGCGCCCCCGTCGGCGTTAGCTCCTGAATGATGATGATGCAATGCACAGAAAATCCGCCATCGAAATACTTGTCATATGAAGCTCACTTTCTCAATGCCTCACACGAGCTACACAAGAGAAAAAAAACATTCATTCTAGAACATCTAACAGGATAACAGTACAACCTCTGAAAGGAGCGACTTCTTGATCGCGTGTTCTTTTCTCCACAGGAGCCATATCATCACGACGCCAAGGAAATGGAGCACTGGGGAGGCCGCGCAGGTGTGCGCCTTCGTCACCGGTGCGACGTCGGGCGACGGTGAGAACAAGGTCACCATCCAAGTGACCGCCGAGTCCGATAGCACCGAGGTCTTGGTATTAAGCCACATCGTCATTCCTCAAGGTCCGTTTTTATTTAATTTTAAGTTTGATTGGCTTCATTGCCTGATTTTATGTAAGTGTACCTGATTCCACATGGTTTTCTTTCTTCAGCGTTTTAACATTTTCCTATGTTTTCCCACAGTGCTATGTCCATATTTCATCCCCCTAGAGAGTCAGTGCGTCCATAGCTTCTTCAAATTTTTCCTTCTCCATTTCTTGGTTTTCTTTTTCTTTTTATTCATTTCTTGGTTTTCCTCCCCCCCCCCTCCACTCTCTCTCTTAATCTCTCCTCTCTCTCTCTCTCTCTCTCTCTCTCTCACTCTCTCAAAACAGAGAATGCTGCCTGGAGCACTTAAGACCTTTACAATACATCAGAACCGGTTGCTTTCCCAAAGAGTCCTAAGATTGATGTGTACATTTCCTTTCCTTGTTAGGTTCATGATTGACTATGCGAGCCCGGTTCTTAGTATGTTGCCACAAAATGTTCTCAGACCCCTTGAAATCTTACAGAATAAGGCCATGAGAATCATTTTGGGTTGCCCAATAACTGCTAAAGTTCTTGTCATGAGGAAAGAGCTTGACCTCCCGTCAGTTCACAGCCGTATTACTCAAGTCAACACCATACACGGCATCAGACCTGCAGATTCAGTCCAAACCTCAAATTTCCCTTGCATTGTTTAATGAGATTAATTGCAGAGTTAGGCATGTCCGGCGGCCTCGATACTCCAATCTCATAAAGTCAAACTTTGAATGGAAGCCCAAGACTGCCCAGACTATTCTCAGCTTCAGTGTGTGGAACAATGATTTTATCAACATCCCAAGCATCGCTTACTTCACCATCGCATAGATCACATGTTAACGTTCATATTGATAAATTAACAGGGCCAAAATCCATGACTTCAATAACAGAGTTAAAAGGCCATGACTTGAAATACATAGATGAAATTATCCACCCCACTCAGGGTACCCCCCCACTTGCAATCTACTGTGATGCTTCTACTCATCCTCATGGAGCAGCAGGGATTGGTGTACTAATTCCTGACATTGCTCTTCAAGAAAGTGTGCGAATTTTCAACTGGACAAGCACATCTGATGCCGAGTCAGTAGCAATATACCATGCCATCAAAAAAGGTGCTGAACAGCAGCGACACCTAACTGTCTTCTCTGACAGCCAGGGTGCACTATATAGACTTACAACATTTAGTCCAGAAAACATGGTAACTATCAATACCATTCACCAAATCGCTAGCCTATCCGAGCAGGGTATACAAGTGTCACTATACTGGATACCTTCTCATATAGGAATATCAACCTGTGACAACGTAGATAAGTTAGCAAAACAAGCACTTTCCCACGAAGAACCATATTATGCATTACCACTATCTATCAGTCAAATGAAAAAACGTTATCAGCTGTCTTCGAGATTATGAGTGCCAGGTATGGACCACCGAAAAATTGAAGAAAAGTGGACATGGTACCATCTGGCATTATGAAAGTATTGTCGCGTCATGTGATGCTGACAAAGTTTACGATGGACTGTCGGAGGCAGCAGGTCACGCTAACCAGGCTACGCATAGGGTATCAATACACTATACATTATGTCCAGGATGCAGTTTTCGAGGCAAAGCCAGTTACATATCACTAATGCAAAATGTGCAAGGCGCCCAAGTCGCATAAAATTACACATTACTTACTTTGTTGCTCTAAAAGTGCATCCTATCGATCAAAAAGCACTGTTCAGAGACCAGCACTTAAAGATTATATTAATTTTATCATAGACACTGGTCTTGTCCTCGATATGATTAGGGATATAAAAGGTTTTTTTTACCAACTAGATGATATGTGAATAATGTATGCATAATGACACAGCCTTTCAAGCATGTAGAACTAATAGCCCTTTACAGTTGGATAGATGCGGTAGCATCTTACCCTGGCTTTTTACAGGGCAATCTGTAAATAAATATTATCAAATCAAATCAAATCTCTCTCTCTCTCTCTCCTCTCTTCTCTCTCGTTCTCTCTCTCTCTCTCCTCTCTCTCTCTCTCTCTCTCTCTCTCTCTCGTCTCTCTCTCTCTCTCTCTCTCTCTCTCTCTCTCGTCTCTCATCGTTCTCTCTCTCTCTCTCGTTCTCTCTCCTCTCTCTCTCTTCTCTCTCTCGTCTCTCTTCTCTCTCTCTCTCTCTCTCTCTCTCTCATCTCCTCTCTCTCTCTCTCTCTCCTCTCTCTCTCTCTCTCTCTCTCTCTCTCTCTCTCTCTCTCTCTCTCTCTCTCTCTCTCTCTCCGTTTCTCTCTCTCTCTGTCTCTCTCTCTCTCTCTCTCTCTCTCTCGTCTCTCTCTCTCTTCGTTCTCTCTCTCTCTCGTTCTCTCTCTCTTCGTTCTCTCTTCTCTCGTTCTCTCGTCTTCTCCAGTCTCCT